CTTATAATGCAAACCTTGCAAAATCCACTTAAGTCTTTAACACTATTTTGAGACTGATTCATAAACACAATTATCATCTCTTACCGCAAAATATATCATGGTAAATGCTGAGAAAGACGCATGCCCAGAGGGGAAAGACAACCGAGCTTCCTTCATTCTGTGAGCATCATCACTTGTGCAAGGAATGGGGTCTACATACGGCTCAGAGCAATTAATCTGAAAAAATTATATAATTCCAGAAAAATAAAATTTGGCCAGATGACCACTTAATCTCAGTTCATGCTGCACTCATTCCTATAGATTTTCAACCAAAGGACAAAGCAAATTGTCCTGTCTACACATATATTTAAGATGTACTGGGTTAGGAGTGATTACAGATTATCACTTGACTGGACTGGACTAAAATACCCTAGCCTTAGGCCTAAAAGGGTTTAGGGTGCTTGGATAAAGTTAGCTTGGCCTGGCCTAGATAAGGAAGTGTGCATTGCACGGAATTGTATCAATAGTAGTACAGTGAGGGCTGGGCTAGAGTAGGATTTAATAAGGAATGCAATCACTAGGGCTCAATATCAATTTTTATTTTCTGATGTATGACTTATATTAGACGTGCATTCATATGGAAACATCCATATATAATCAAAATAATGAAAAAAATTACCTTAGACCAATCTGGCTTGCAGATTGCAATAAAATGTGGTCTCAGGCGACCAACACTATACTTGGCAATATCAGTTGTGAGCTGAGAGGTTGCACAGCCAAAGAGGAATGGTCCAACTGCGGAGTAGGCTGCCCAGAACCAGGAATTGATTTCACGGCCACACATGACCACCTTCTTGCCAACTGGTTCGCGACGCACACGGAACCATTCTAAGACGCACATCTATGCCAGTTTGAATATACAGAATATATAGTATGAGTTAAGTAATAATGAAGCTGAAATAACCTGATGTTTTAGCATCGTACACTGGCTTAATCATTACAATTTTACTATAACACTGAATGATTCTCTTTCATCATGCTTAATGAAGTACAGATACCTAGAGCATCAATGCATTCAACAAAACTGGCAAACTAAATATCATTGATGAATGTTACATTCCTTTTATGTTGTATAGCTTAGGTATATAATCACAATGTAGTACTAACAGAAATGAGAAATCAATCATACAATATATATTCTAAGACACTAGCCAGTTGCAAAGTAGTATCAAGTTATCTTATTTTTATAAACATGCCATTCTTAGTCACATGCATATCAGTGATGAAAATATTTACTTGGGAGATTATCCATTACCATATCATAACAAATATACCAAAAAGTCCATAATTATAGCAAGCTGTATAATCAATGCCCTACAATGCCAGCTTCCCCAGCTTCACGAACATCAGGGTGCACATCCTGCTATTCATCAATTTAAATGCAAGACAACAACCAAAGCTTTTGTGGGTTTAGTGACAACAAAAGGTCCTTAAGATACCACAAAACAAAAGTTGTTGCCAAATCAGCTAGTCTACTCTAATACACATTAACAATGCTTTGAGCAACCCTACATAAAATTATAGATATTAGTGTTAATACTCTATTCAGACAATTAATGCACTATTATTTTCTCCAGCTTAAAACTACTTCCCTTCACACTTACATACTAAGCATCAAAATAAGAACATTTACATCAAATATTACAAAGTTTGTCTTCTTTTTTGTGGTATCTCAAATGCAAAAACTCTGAATTAGTGCTGTGCCCAAGATTGCTGCAGTGCTCATCACATAGCCATGACAAGAAAAAAAAAGAAAAAAAAGGAAAAAAGAAAAGAAGAAAATAAACACAAATAAAACATTCAACTCTCATCAACTCTGAGAACAATATACCTTTAAAACTCAAAATTGTGCATGAATTCTGAAAATTGTTCCAGCCACTGAACATTCTAAAAGAAAACACATTATGTACACAAACGTTACACATCGAGCAATATTCCACCAAGAACATTTCTCCTTTTATGAAGTTTAAGGAGGTTTGAATGTTGACACCACTGGACAGAGAGGAAGGAAGGAGACAGGGCAATGTGTAGGAATAAAGAGGATACAAGGACAGAGTGTGAGGAAGGGAAACTGTGCAATGAAAATATTCCTAAAACTGTGTAAGTCTACAATTCTGTGAGGTGATAAATCTAAGGAACTGTACTACAATAATTCAATGTCACTATTGCCATACTAAGTGGTTGATTAACTTATAGTAAAGCACATTCACATACTACCCATTTCTCTAAAGCTCCATTGATGTGATAATCAGGCAATAAGAGTGAACTTCACTGACTTTTTAAACATATGCTTACCACACTGAACAAAACTAAAAGAAATGATAATGATAATAATAATTAATTTGTTTGAGTACATAATCCCATACATTATTTACACACCTTAAGCTAATTCTGAAAATATCAGTTGTGAGATATAAGAATAAAAATTTCCTTCACGTCAGGTCTTGCTGCACGTTCAAGATAAACTCAAAAGCTTTAATTTTCTATTACAGGCAAAATAAAATAATACAGATTACTGGAGGAAAAAGAGAAAGAAAGAAAGAAAGAAAGAGAGAGAGAGAGAGGAGAGAGGAGAGAGAGAGAGAGAGAGAGAGAGAGAGAGAGAGAGAGAGGAGAGAGAGAGAGAGAGAGAGAGAGAGAGAGAGAGAGAAAAGAGAGAGAGAGAGAGAGAGAAGGAGAGGGAGAAGAGAGAGATGGATGAGAGAGAGAGAGAGAGAGAGAGGAGAGATGAGAGAGAGAGAGAGAGAGAAAGAGAGAGAGAAAAGAGAGAGAGAAAGGAGAGAGAGAGTAAAGAGAGAGAGAGAGAGAGAGGAGAGAGAGAAGAGAGAGAGAGAGATGAGAGAAAGAGAGAGAGAATGAGAGAGAGAGAGAAGAGTAGAGATGGAGCAAGAGGAGGAGGAGTAGGGAGAGAGTAAGAGAGAGAAGAGAGAGAGAGAGAGAGGAAGAGAGAGAGAGAGAGAGAGAGAGAGAGAGAGAGAGATGAGAGAGAAGAGAGAGAGGAGAGATGAGAGAGAGAGAGAGAGAGAGAGAGAGAGAGAGCAGAGTACTATATATAGGTACCAGGACTTAATTACCAAGTAGCGTATACTCGTCTGGCTTTAGACTTAAGAGGTAACTTCAATAGCTTGTGAAAAAATGTAATGAGAAAAATTTATTGAAAAAGATATTACTTAAAAGGAAAAAATAAAGAGATAAAAAAATAGAAAAATGAAGAGTGTAAAATTAAAATTACAATAAAACATACATACCTATAATACTATATATATACATATATACCTACTATTACTATATACTAATATATAAGCGTGTATATATATATATATTTATAAATATATATTAACTACTATATAAATATTTATATTGCTTATGCTATAGTACTATATTATGTTATTATGTAATATATATATACTACTATATATATATATAGCATATACTATATATATATATAATATATGCTATATATATATATTATGCTGCTTATATTTTATATATATCACTGCATATATATAATATATATACGTTGATATATGATACCTCATATCACTGCTATAGTATCACATATACTAACTATACTAATATACTATATATATAGGTATATATATTCTTATATTTATATACTATTATATGCTAATATATATGAGTATATATATAATATTATACTCATATTATATACTATACTATATATATATTCATATATATATATATAGCATATATATAATATGTAAATATATATATGTATATAATATATGTTTATGATATATAATGTTATATATATCATCATATAATATATGTACGTATTATAGTATGATATGCTATATTATACTGTATGTATATTAGCTAAGTCCATATATAAATGATAATATATATATATATTATATATGTACTATATACTGCCATATGTATATATATGCTACTATGTTCATATTAATTATATTATACTAGTAGTATATTACTATATTATATACTATATTACTGTACAATATCATACTTATATATCTCATGTGCTATATACCTACGTCATACGTATATATTATATATATATATATATTATATAATATATATTGTACTATCTCATTATATATTACTTTTATTATACCTATATAGTCATAATATATATGTATATATGCTATATTATCATATATCCATATATTAGCTACTTTTAATATATATACTATCACTATCATAATATATATTCATAGTATATATATATTATGTATCATGTATACTATTCTATATCCCATGCTATATATATAAATATATATATCAGCTACTATATGATAATACTATATACATACTAATATAATAAATATATATATATCATAGCTTATATAAGGATATAATACATTATATAATACATTAAAGTATACAATATACCATAACATTATACTATCACAATATATAGTATGTACTTATATATGTATATAATATGCTATATACTATGTCATTGTTCTCACTGTGATCATACTGTATATATAGGCATAATCATAATCAAATACTATGACTATATATAGTCAATAACTTACTCATATGCTCAACGTATATATAATATATAGTATAATACATACTACAACTATAAATATATTATAAATTATTATGTATATCATCTATATATATCTATATAATATATACACATGAAGATTACTAGCTATATAGTATATATATATAGTATATATATATATATATATAATATTATATATATTCTATATGTACTCTTTGATATGTGAGGCTAATACTATTGTATGTATTATATATGCACTATGGTATTATGTGAATTAGTCTACCGCGCATTACTCGTAAACTACTATATATAAATATATATATTAATATATATATATATATATATATATTATTATATGCTCATATATAATATATGCTATATATATTATATAATATATAGTATTATATATATATAAAATTATATATTATATATATATATATATGTATATTTATAACGTATATATGATACTATGTATAGTATATATTATATATATATAGATAATAGAATCATATAGGTATATATAAATATATACTTATATATATATAATTTCTATATAGGTATACTTATGATAATCAATATAGTATTTATATCATGTATATATACAACCCTTATATATATATATATAGTGTACTAACTATATATATAACTACTATAATATACTATATATTATACATATATTACGTACCTATATATACATATATATCTTATATATAGTATATATAGATTATTATAGTTATTTATCCGCAATACTATATTCTTATCATGCTAGTAATATAAATATATATATATAATGTAATCACCTATAAATATATTAGATAGTATAATCTCTATATATTATATATATACTATACTTCATACCATACACTAATAACATATATAATATATATGACCATAGATCATACCATAATGTATTAGTGACACTATATATATACATCATCATTTACAACTATACTATACTATAATACATATATATACATCATACACATAGCATATATATATACTAATTATATATATATAGTACTATATTATGCTTATCAAATACCTAAATATTTAATATCATAGTGCATAACTATACTAAATTATTATAACCTATCTATAATGAATACTACCTATTTATATTATAATATTATGTACATTATAATTAATATATACTAGTATATAGATATACACTAAATACAATATATATACTAATCATTATATAGGTATATAGATATCATAATATAAAATATAATATAAAATATATACTATTAAATGTACTTTACTTTATTATATTCACGCTATAATATATAGCTATATATACTACATAAACGGCTAACTAATATATGGCTATATATATACGCAGT